ATAAGTCATTACAAAAAATGCTCTCTCGATTGTAACAGTAACTACGGGAAGAATTGAGGCCAATGTCACAAGACTGTAGACTAATTGATACACTTCATGTTTATTTTTTGCAACCAACTCTTGTGCATGATCACTAAGGACCTATAATCCTTTGAAATCTTCGTCCATACACATGTCAAGAATATATGTGTCAAGTTGATCATCAAGTTCTAGATATATACTACGTCAAAATGTACCAGATAATACTCACATAGTCGAATCAATTTGTCCTTGTAAATGAATTTTTTGGGCACAAAAACACCAACACAAAGGAGTAAGTCGCTATTTACCTCAGAAAAATTATCATTCAACTCTTGATGTTGCATATCAATGATGGGATACAAATTTGTCACCGTGTCACAACATGAACAACCTAAAGTTATGAACATATCATCCATATTGGAAACATTAAACTCGTGAACTTCACAGAACAAAGAAACCATTCCCAAAAAAAAAAAAAAAGAAAAAGAATATCATCCATCATCCCTCGTGGTTTAGAGCTTTAATTTTACCAATTTTATGGCATTAATAATATCTTGATCTTTCCTTTGTAATGCTTTTGAAAATTCAATTTAAATTCTGAAGATATTTTTCATGAGATGTAAATAAATGCAAATTTAAATTTTAACATCAAAAACTCATTTCGAGCTTGATGTGATAGCTTAAAGAGACAAGACCAAATTCTTCGTCTTGATTTTGAATTATTCATATTTGACCCGAGCCTGATTGTGTGCACTACTTGATTTTGCAACGTGTTTTTATCTATCTTTTATCAATTTGAGATCTCACCGTTAACAAATGAACCGCCACTTGAACTGAAAAGATAGTACTAGAAGCCAAATTTAGCGTATTTCTCTATGTTGTATTCCAACCAACTAGATGCTCATCATACCAAGAAATACAAAATCACCTATACATTTTTACCCATTCTTGTGGGTGGAAATTCATGGTTGTGAGGTGACAAATGTTCTTTGAATCACATCTCGAACATTAGCATCATAATTCTGTATTGGAACTCTCACTCCAAAATCTGAAGGAAGCTGTGCATCATCAAGTTCAGGTCTTTCATTCCTAATATTCCTGACATTTGTTTCAATTGGAACATTTTCAAGATTGCTTTCATTCCCAACATCCATTTCATTACCAAGTCCATCATCACTTTCATCTCCAACATAAATTTCATCCTTTTATCACGAACATTATTTTCATTAATATTTTGTTCATCACAATAAAATGTAGATTTTCGTGTAAAGAATTTGTCCATAACTGATACAAACAATCAATTCAAATAATCGGAAAGAAAAACTTACGACCAATATATAATACTAATAATCAATTTAAATAAATATAATTCAATAAATGTAATCCAAATTGGATAGAATCATTCTAGACCCATTCTAAATTTGTTAGTTCATTTTTAGCCACCAAATACAATTACTAAATCAGCTGGAAAGAGGTAATTTAAAGCTTAGGGTACCACTAAATACAAAAACTAAATCAGATGGCAAGTGCCAAAAACCTTGTAAGTTGCTTCAAATTTCTAATGCTAACTTAAACCCAGAAAACTTGTTTCCACTGAGATTCAATAAACTCAAATTCCTCAAAAGCATCAGTTCATTAGGCAACACTCCAATTATCTGTTTGCCTCTTAAATTAAGCATCTCAAGTAATGTCAAGTTACCAGAACTCAAAGGAATGGAACTTGAAAAGTTACTGCCTCACCTCAATCGACCTTTCCGTCTCAGCTATTGTTTTCCATCTTTCACACTTTGGCACTCTAATTTATCAAAGAAATATGCCTGATGGTAATTACAAATGTTATAGCATCTCCAAGAGATTCTTTAAACATGAGATGCTCTGTATTTTAAAGAGTCAACATTTAAAATCATGCTCTAAGAAACTCTTTAAATTAATATTTTAATTTAGAGACCCACTCTCTATAATTAAATGCATTCAAAGTGTTTAAATTTTCAATGTAAGAAAACAATAAAATAATCTAAAGAAAAGTTATTTAAAATAGAAGATAAAGAAAAATAATAAATATTTTTTGGGCGTAGTAAAATTAAGTGTTAAATATAAAGAGCTCGTTAAAGTACTTCAAAATTTTAACTCTCTAAATTTATAGATGCTCTCCAAATAATAGAATATGATCTTTAAAAATAGAGTCTCTTGGATATGCTCTTAGTTGAGGACAAGTATCTCGCATCTACCTGATGTTGGAAAAATTAAGTTGTGTGGCTAGTTTTGGCACTAATTTTGAGCGGGACCCGGTTAACTATTTTGAAAGATGGAAGTTGATTTGTGTTCTCCTCCTTGAGTACATCGAAATTATATGTTTACTTGTCAAAAATGATACTCGAGTGAATGAGAAATTGAAGCTCAAAGTATACCATGTGAAAAGAGTTTGTTGGTGGGAAAACTAAAAAAGTTAAGATTTGTCTCACATAGGAAGTTGATGAAATTTAAAACCACTTTATAAAGGATTACACTTTAGAGTGGTGTATCATGTGTAGTATAGAGGCTCTCTCCACGCGCGCGCACAGGGGGGTGCAAATCTTGGACCGAAATAGGTTTCGAACCTTGAACTTGTGTGCGTACACGAATGTCAGACCGAAATGAGCAAAATTGGCCCCTTAGGAGTGTGCACGTTTTGCTACATTTTTGTTAATTTTCAACAGATTTTTGGTTTTCCAAAACTCCTGAAACTCCTATGTTAATTGCCATTTGTTAATGGGCAGGTTACAAGAGTTGGCCTTTATATATGTCTCGTTTTTTCCACTGTCCATACACAAAAAATTCATCTGCATATTCATTTGCACACAGTTCCTGTTTCTCTGCATTTTTCGTTCCTGTTCGAGTCTGGTAGTGATATATTTCAGACACAGAGTCAGTTCGCCGGAGTAGAGTCTGTTGTGCTCGGATTTTACTGGTTCCTCCGTTGTATCCTGAGAAGCAAACGCTTGTACTATCCTCAAGCACGTACGGTGAGAGGGCGAATCTGTTTTAAGGAAATTGTGTTTGACACAGGTTTCGGGTTAAAAGTGTTATACTGTTTTATTTATTGTTCTTTTTGTAATTATTTAAATTACTTGTTATTTTTTGCTGCAATCAACAAATCGTTGGATTTGTTATATGTACAGTTTATTATACGATATTCAGTCTGTAAATCTGATATTCGATTTTGAAACAATTATCCTACACCTGATACCGGTTTGAGCCTCCATCATGTGATACCCTTGGGATAATAGCATTTTCCTTAGTCACACGATAATAGTCTCATGGCCTGGAAGGCCTTAGAGCCCTCTAACTTGTCATTGGAGCTTTACTTTATCTGCAATCTGACCATACTTTTGTTGCGCATCCTGCGGGACTCGTTAATGCTTCCATCCTCCCAATTTATTAAAACGCTGAGGGACCCGAAAGGTCACTACTTTTAGACACGATGTCGTACTTGGCCTCCCCTAAGGCAGGTAAACTGCCAGTAGGAATAGTGTGTCACGTTTTAGCTTTGCTATGTGTCCCCGAGTTTGCTCCTTCCTTTATTCTGTCTGTGAGGCGAAATCACGTGTCCATGTTGCATCAAGGACTGCCTCATGGCATCGTTCTTTTCGACAACATGTTACACGTTGGTAGCCATGTCAGCTACTGTTTGAGTTGGCCATTCTTCTTGATGGACCTCCAATTTTTTCTCCTTCGAGTATTTCTCTCTGCAGAGATAGCGGGAATGTTGTGCCTGCTTTCCTTCTATTTCACATAACTTTTTGATCCGCTTCCACTCATATTTCTTGGCTTTTTATGTTCCTCATGTTTTCTTCTTGTGGTTTTGATAGAAAGTTCCCATAGATGGCACCAAAATGTTGATCTCAAAAATGGAAATTATTCTTTAAAGTCAACAGTAATTTTTCTGTCCAAATTTTGACATTTTTCCCTCTTTTGGGGGTTTTGGGTTAGTTTTAAAAGCCAACTCTTGTTGTAAAGAGAAGAGAGTATAATTTCGGCGTTTGGTTGGCTTTGTGTTTCTCAATTGGGGATAGTTGCAATTTTCAAGAGGTCTAACATGGGTTGTGTTTTAATCCAATATGGTTTTTCTAGAGTGGAAGTTTGGATATCAGATTTTCAATCCCTTTTTTCTTTGTACAAGCCTTATTTATAGGCATTTGTAGGGGCATTCTAGTCCTTTTTGTGAGTTAGCACTCATTATTATATTGAAAGTCACGATTAAATCCTATTTTTAATGTTTTGTCGACGTTTGTGCTTTTGGACATTTGTCCAATAATCTATGGCATGCATGCATGGGTTTATTGCATTGAAATCCATGTTAATTCTGTCAGTGTTCGCTATAAGGTTCCCGTTTATATTCAGAGCCAAACCAAGGCATTTGTCCATTGATAGCCGAGGCCTTCAAACATGTTTCAAGCCATGTCAAGGTTCTATCCGTCGCTTGAGCCTCGGCGGCCAAAACATATATTGTTCAATTATGCCTCGGTGGTTGTGGCACAAATATTTAGGAACACTTAGCATGCAATGGGGCCCTTTTTTAGCTAACACGAAATCCAGGTCGATAATAATTATTTCAAAACATAACAGGTTGTATCCAATTTTTCTCCTTAATTATTTGAGTTATTATTAATTAATTATCTTGTATTTTTGTAACCGATCATGTTAGACTAAAAGTTTTAGTTGCTAGATTATGATGAAACCTTGCTAACTCTTTAATTTGTTAATTGTTGATTTTAGTTTTAATTATTGTACTGGTAGATAAATTAGGCTGTATACCCTATTAAAATAAGTCTTTTGATTAATACCTTTTAAACTAATTAAACATTTTAATCAAGTAATTATTACGTCCTAGTCTAAACTAAACTCCAACCCCACTAAGTAAAACCCCGAAACCCACTCCTCTGACGATTTTTCATCTCCGAGAAAACTCCATATATTTTTGCCTGGTGCTAGTGGTGGATATGGAGCTGGTGTTGGTGGAGGATTGGGAGGAGGTACAGATAAAGGTGGTGGATTTGGTGGTGGTGGAGGAGGTTTTTACTGGTTCCAGCAATTTGTATAAACTGAAAAGTATTCTTTACGATAGATTCATTCCGTTCCATAACCAGAAAACTATAATACTCGATCCTTCAATTCATTTACTTAACACTATGAATTTCTTCAAATCCATTCTGTCAGAGGATTCAGATCCTCCAAAACGCGAAAACCCCCATGACCCGAAATCCGAATCCCCACTGCAGAGGAATAAGGATCCAGATGATATCGGTCAGGATCCAGTTCACATAGACCCATCACCCAAAAGCCCGTCTGATTCATCTGGTGATGGTGGCATTGGTTGCGATGGGTGGAGTTTTGGGGGTTTGATCAAGACTTTTACGACCCAATCCGAGTCGGTGCTGGAGACATACAGGCGGGATCTTAGGGAATTCGGATTGGGTCTTAGGAAGGAGTCGGAGGTCATCCGAGAAGTCACCAGCCGCTCTGTGAAGGACATTGTGTCACTTTTTAAACTTTTGTCACTTTTTTTAGATTTTTGTCACCTTTTAAGTTTGTCACTTTTTAAGAAGATAAAAAAATGAAATAATATGTTATATTTTTNTGACAATTTTTATGTCACTTTTTCATTTTATACAATATTTTTTATTTCCTATAACCTTTCATATGATTTTTCAAAATATCCATAATTTTAAAGGTATTTTTGTAAGTTGTCATCCTAGATAATTTTAGCTAGGATTGTTTTGGGATTCGCGTTAAGACCGAGAGGTAATGCAATCTTGATTGATATTGCAACATAAACATTCTTTTTAATTCATATCCATTGAAGATAAAAATTGATTTATTTTTAATCTCAAGGGAGAAAATTAACACATTAAGAATATTGGTTGTCAACTTAAACCAAGGATTAAAGTGGATTAATTGCCTTTCATGACTTGTGAAATTCCAAGACTTACTCCCTTTTTAATTAATTATTGAAGTTAATAGTTAGATTAACCGAAAACAACCCTAATTAAACATGTGCCTTAATTTAGGTTAAATTTTAATTAAAGTAAGATCGATAATCTACTCAAAAATACCATGAATTTGAGGGATTATATTGAGATACTTAGATTAGATCATGTTACATATTCTGCATTGGACTTGGTATTTGTTCAATACATACCAGTTCTAATTCCAGGGTTGTCACGTGCACATTATAGCTTTAGTAAGAGAAATGTGACTCCAACAAAGACTCAAACAAGTTCATTCATGCCAGAAGCCTTTAAACATTATGAAATTTCTAAATCTCCCCACAAACAAAAAAATCGAGCAAAGTTGAGCAATTAAAAAAAATGCTAATCTTTTTCCCGGAGGATTATTGTGCCAGAAATTACAAATTACTTAAAGCTTCCATATCTCAGAAGAAAATAGAAATAAAATTGAACAAAGCTTTCTAACACTCGGTAAAAACAAAGCATAACAAAGGATAAAAACAACATTTTGACATCTCATCTAACAAAATCAGAGGAAAGAAAACTTCATTCCATTAGTTGAAGCAAACAAATTGTATTCTTCAATAGAATCTTTCGTATTGCACGCATCATGACCATCAGGTCGGTTCAATGATAAATTTGGAGAAATATCCCCTGCAATTCCTTCTTCCAAAGAGTCACCATCTAACTTAGATCCTGCTGAAAGAGCTACAGGGCCACCAAAGTGGAAAAGAGAGAAGCTTGTATTTCCCATTTCTGATGTTTCAGACATCACATTTTGCCCAGCTTCGACGACACTTGGTGCTTCCACAGTATGCTGCTTATTAGTTGGAGCAACTTTCTGTACATTAGAACCATGTTCAGCTTCTTTTAGCACACCTAGATTTGGAACCGTGGAACACACTGTGTCAATGCCATTAACAAGAGCAGCTGGCTGGAAAAAAGGCAACGGAGCAGAATTAAGTAATGGTGGAGCGAGATGTTGTAATGCTCCACACTGCATAAGCCGTGTATTTCCATCCAGACTGTATCCAAAAGGGCTAGCAAATAAATAGTGGTGGCTGTGATGGGGGAAGGGCATCAATCCATTTGTAGGACCAGCTGGCCAGGAAACTGGAATTTGATGACAATAAGGCATTGTTGGTGCCGGGAACATTGGATAGTCTATGCTTTGATTGTGAAATTGCGGAAGCAAAGTTGGAGGCTGAGCAACCATACTGACATTTAATCTCCCACTATCACAATATGAAGTTGCTTTCAAAGGCAAATTCCCAAAAGAATTGGTTCCATCACAGTCAGGTGTCTGGCTAATGGTGTCATCACCCCTCTCTGTGTTTTGCCTCGTCTCGACCACGGCTCCACGATACTCAGTGTAGATATTTTTAAGGCAATGTGAACTTTCTCTTCCTTCTGAACTTTGGCTGCCCTCATCTGAATCTGACATCGATGTTGAATCCAAGTTTTGATGGTTTGAAGAGGATGTGTTGCTGTCTTCCTCACTGAGGCAGAAGGAGCAATTGTCAGAGTTAGAAGAGCTACCAATTGATGATTCTAGCATTCCATGTAAAGATTTTATCGAAGGACATAACTTGCCATCCTCTTCTGCTACATCCTTCGAGAATTGCTGGGACTTTGCCACTGACTGAAATTCATTTTGTTCAATTCTGACATTTTCAGTCCTAGACTTAATTGAATCTTGCAAACCATAATCCTCACAATTGATTGGTACTGAAATATTCGTCACTTCGTCAGTCAGAGTCGTAACAGGAAATTCAGGGAGGTGATTGGATACAGTACCTTCAACTTTGAGAGTAGAAATTGTAGTAACGTCAGGATCTGAATTGCTTCGGATGTATTTCTTCTGTGAATCCAATGGTTCCCAAACTCGCTTAATGTTAGGTGAAGAAGCGTTACTAGCTATAATTTTGTTTTTAGGTCGTCCACTCATCTCACGTGAACACTCAACTAGGTTACAATTGAGTCCACGATAATATGGTTTTGACATACCAGTGACCTCCAACTTATTCACATATTTAGGGTCCCGGACTACTCTTGTAATATGTGATTCAGGCCTTGCTCTGTAATCATCATGATGGTTACAACTGCCAGCATGTGAATCAAATCTGTCACCTCCTACCCTATTCTTGGTACCCTGAAACTTTTCACTAAATTTTGGGCCAAAATTTCTACTGTTCTTCACAGCATTACTTCTAACATGAAAGCCATCATCATTATATCTTGATTCATATTTGCTAACAGTATCCCCAAACTCTGTAAGAACGGTACTTTTTCTCCCACCCGACCACTTTAAGTTCAAATCCTGTTTGAGGTCTTTTTTAAACTTTAGCTTCCTGCTAGAATATTTGATGTGATCATGGGGGAAAGAGCCGTTTGAATCTCTAATATTACCAAGTTCCTCATCAGGACTGTCTTCCAAATGGTTTTCTGTATTTGAATATATATAATCCTTCAAAAACTGGTCATCTTGAATATCTGGAGACAAAGGGCAGGATGAAATAGCTTCACCACCCGTTTCATTGAAAAAATCTTTGTTACTGACCACGTTTGAGTTTTCAGCAACAGTGGGCATTGGGTTCTCCTTTGAACCATCAAGAACCACAGGATCTTGAATTGATTCAGCACATTTCATCTCCTTGTTTTCCTTCTCTTTTAATCTTTCCTTTCTTCGCAGCTTTTTCTCCTTTTCTTTTGTTCTTCGGCGCACCTTTCGTTCTTCTTTTTCACGCTTTTCCTTTTCTTCTTCTTCAAGAAGTGTAATCTGTAAAATCAAAGTTGAATGGGAAATCGATATAAAAACATGAAACTTGAGACAATATTTTAAGGCAGCAAAATGCTCAAGGAGAGATTTAAACAATTACAGGTTCAGTACCTGCTTTTCTAAGGTAATGATTTCCTTGCATGCAACATGCAGGCGTTCTTCCAGCAACTTCAATGCAAGGCACACAAAAATGCTGTGTGCATTCTGCCGTGCAGTTCCTTCTCTAAAGGCCTTTTCAACCTGCAGAATATATCCAGCACCTAAGAAAACTTCCAAATGCCAAGAAATACACATGGAGATTAAAAGGTAAGACCGTGGTACATTAAGAACATACAGTACGCAAAAATATAACCCCGAGTCCTTCGACTTATTCTTTCCTCAATAATGATCAAATTTCAAGGTACAACTAGAAATGGTGAATTAGTTATACAGTTATGCTTGTTCAACTTGTAATACAGTCTTGCAAATTCAACTGAGTAAGGAGCTTGCGTTAGAAGTTTTGATGTGAGAATTTCTAAAGATAACGAAAATATATCCATCTTAATGAAGACTTGGTTGAACAAGGTTGACATGCCTTAGAAGCTACGGTCATGTATATAGTGTAAGACATCTTAAAACATCAAAATCAATTACCGACAAATATGAAGTAACTATAATTCAAGTTACGGTTTGGATTACAAATATGGAAAACATGGAACCCTAGGATGCTCTCCGTCACTAACATCAAAATCAAATACCCACAAATATTGAAGTAACTGTAATTCAAGTTACACTTTGAATCACAAATATAGAAAACATGGGAACCCTAAGACTCTCCATATCTTATAAGAAGAACTATAACCGACGTCAAAAAAGACAGCAGATTAATTCTGTTGGTTACTTCCAGTGAATTCAAAAAGATAATTAATAGGAATGGAAAGGAAGGATGAACATGCCTGTTCCTTGAATATTACAGTTGCAGCATCAAGAAGGAAGTCTCTAGCAAGTTCAGGGCTCTTCGCATGTTTCTGAGGACGGGAGCACTCACCATCGAAGTCATTTCCATCCTTGTCCATGGAATCATCATCCTGAAACCACATGGAAATGAAAACATAACAAGGAATATCATGAGAAGAAATAGAGGAATGAGGGGGAAGGATATAGCAAGGAATTCCCGACTTCTAGAAATGATAATTAAAACCACTAGTTGATACCTCCTCTTCTTCGGCCTCCTCCGCATGCTCAAAGAACTTTTTGATGCTTTCCCCACTAGTAATTTTAACAAAACCATCACCAACAACAAGTCTGCAATGAACGCATTGTTGACCTCTCAAAGCATGAGCTTTCACACAAAGTTCAGAGCAGCGTCCATCCATTTTCCAGGCCCGTAGAGTTACATAACATGCATGCATACCACTAAGATCTAGACCACCTGCTTGAACTCTTCCACTCAATCCAACATTTTGAAACTCCAAGATATCAGATTTTCCTTCTCCACTTCCAATTGCCCATTCAAAGTGATGATATAATCCAAATGCATCTAAAAATGTTTGATGCCAGTCAGCTTTAACCGTGTCATGAAAAATCTCACATTGGAAGGCTGTGTCTGCTACACAAAACCAACTTGTGCAACGAGGTTCCCTTCGCATGCGTTTTAGCTCCTTCAGCTCCTTGAACTCTCGTATAACATTTCTTCGGCAATCTCTACAAAAGCTCTTGCTGTCAAACCTGGGACAAGAAATGAATACTTCAGACTGGGATATAATTAATTACATGTGCACGTCAAATTAAAAAGTCAGTAAAAGTAACTTTCTGCTAGAGAAGTAACTGTCCTTCTTGTGTTGTTTTTCTTTATTTTTCGGAAAGGAAAGGGTGTTTTGTGTGTGTGTGTGTGTGTTGGGGGGGGGGGGGG